GGTGATGGTGGTGGTGGTGGTGGTGGTGGTGATGGTGGTGATGGTGGTGGTGATAATGGTGGTGATTGTGGTGGTGGTGATGGTGATGATGGTGGTGGTGGTGGTGATGGTTAAAATCGCTGTCATTGATGGTCACAAATTCATAATAATCAAGTTCCTTATCCCGCCGTTGTTAGCAGGTGGCTACATGGCAACCTGATTCAAAACCACTTTTGCCTCGTTAGATTCATCAATAAGTTGTCAACCCAAATCACAGTTTCCGTTTTTCGGTTTACTCAACCAAGATGGAATAGCTTCAAGAGAGAAAAGCAAATTTCTCTATTCCGAAGTGAAACATTTGTGCTTTTCGTCTTTTCTCCCAATTTTACGAGCACAGTATCTGCTACAAAAGAGATTACCTCTCTCTGTGTTGAATGGCTGGTGGAATGTGGGTTTTAGTTCCAAGAACGCGTTCATTCGCTAGCTCACCTGACCCGATACAGGGCAAATCATTTCAGATACTCAACAGTCTCCTATCAAATAAATTTCCTGAGCCAGGCAGTTAAAAAATGTGTTCGATTTCGAGGTGATGCTTGATTTGACAGCGAAACTAATCACTTTCTTCGTTTTTAATTTTCGTTCAACAGTCCTTAATCCAATGCAGCATGAATACATTTCACAGATGCAAGTACGGTATTCTATGGAGCTAATCGATCGTGAGTTGACTTGAAAGTGATTTGCGAAATATTACTCCAATACCATTTTGTATACACTATTCTGTTGAGTAAATTATTCATTACTGGAATTCTGGCCTTGTTAAGATTGATTCAACTGGAGTTCATTGCTATTTGTCTTATTTGGCTGATTTCACCCAGTTTTTAGTTGCAGCTGAGCCTCTAGGAATGATACTTGTTGTGAACCGATCATTGACTGAAACGTGTAGTATGCGTATCCATAGCCTTTACTGATTGATTGACCAGTCCTGCGTGTTACCATACACGCAATCAATTACGTCCTGATGACCTGCCTCAATAGAAGACCCGGTCACCTTTTTAATCATATTTCAGCATTAGACTTTTCCCTATGACTCTTTCTTGACTATTTAGTTTGACCGCAATCGTAACTCTTTACTTGCGCTCACAAGTGTTGACCGAACTCGTGCAACATCACTCTCAATTTGGAAATCCATTTCACTTTTCAATATCACCTGATATGAGGCCATTATTGAATGCCCAACAAAGCATAGCGTGCATTGATTTTTGGCATTGAGTTTATCTCACTGGTGTAATTCAGTAGGCGGTAAAAGATGATCTACTGAGCTTGTTTTCTAATGAATTTCGTTTTATCTGACAGAAGAATTAAATATCCGTCTCGCTTTAACGAGTTGGAAGGAAAGTTGATACTGAGCGCCTTACTATTGGTCTACTGCACATACCGATCTGTATATTACAAGATTTGTTGCAATGATGAAGAAGGTTTTTGATAACTGTCACTCCTAAAATGCATTGGCGAAAATTATATTTTTCACATTTGAAGGGTAGTATACCAATTTCAAGGTCGAATTCATTTCATTTCCGCCAACCAGTTTGAAGTTGAATGTAATCAAATACTTCTCCCAGAGTTAGAAATAGGGAAAAGTGACCTTCTTTCAGTGCGGTCGTCAGTCGTTAAGGTGCGGTAAATTCTGTTGGATATTGAAATTGGTGCACTCCATGCAAAAGCGACTGTCTCCAGTGCTTCGAATTGAAAAGGGGCAAATAGAATATGGATCGGATGAAATTACAATACCTGTTTAGTTTCTATGAATTGTTTCGGTAACTAAATTTTAGTAATGTTTTCACTGTTGACTGGTTATTTTAAAACTGATGCATCAGCAGTCACCGTCAAAATCGAGAAATCTTACATTTTATCGGTGTTTAACTAAAATAAACACACACGTAGGTGGACATTATTACGAACATGCTGCGTCTGATGTGGGGTAATATCATATTCAATCCGGTGAATGAGGCTGGAAAAACGAAGCGTTTGAAGGAATAGAAATGATGAAAATCTGGATGTTGCACCAGTTTGTTCAATACCTGTATTTCTTTCAAATTTATCTATCTGCCTGTTTACTAATATACTCGTTTACGGACGCATTCGTGTACTGAATGCGATGACACCGTTAACTCATAAAAGGAGTTACAACCATTCTGTGCTTTCCTACAGTAGTGCACACAACGGTGCTTACTATAAATATATTGACACTACAGTCTGTAAAGCCTGTTTGTTTGTGCTACTAACCCGTCTGCCTTCCGTTTGGCATTTTGTTTCCGTTCGTTTGGTGTGTAATTGACTTTAGGCTAGTTGAGAGATTGAATCGAAGTTTTTCACGATAAGTTTTCAGAGCGAAGTTCCATCTATGTAGACCCAATACGTCTAGGCACGGTCGAAGAGGAGATTTTGTGTCCGTGATCTTGATACTGACTATTTGCTCAAGGTCCCAATTGATCAATCAGAATGTCACATCCGATTCGGTGATATTCATTAGTCCCGGAGTGGCATCCTAAGTGATATGTGATTCCGCGTTCTTTTCCAACTTATGATCATAATAACACTCATGTCTATTTTATATTTTCACGAATTCTTAGGAGGTGCTTGATTGAAAAGTCTGCAGTGGCTCACACGGTGACTAAATTGGAAACGCAACGGGGGCTTACCGAGTAGACCGATTTAAGAGTGTCGATTTGAACAGACCAACTTCTTTCTCACACGCATACACCATCCTCAAACATTGACTTCAAAGCACAGAAGTTCAATGGTAAAAAGATTTCAGTTCACCCATAACCTGGCACAGAAGTACGTGAATGCATGAGTAATCCTCATATACAAAGACACGCACACACACATACACACATGGTGCCATAAAAAATCTCACTGCTTGTGTGAGGCCTACAAGTTTCGCATGAATACTCTAAACTGTAATGATCGATTCGGAATTTGATACAGGAAGTTCATATTGGGATTGTCGAAGGTTCACACACAAGACATAAAACGAATAACCGAAAGAAAAAATATATATATATATAATGACAGACAATCATTAAATTTGAGTATATGTTTATGCGGGTGCTATTTGTTTTAATGAAGGTACAGTACATGGATTTGTTATGTTCCTTACTCTTCATTATTTCAAGGACAAAAAGTCAAGATTTGATGGAAATGTTTGCTTGCAGCAAAACATGAAAACAATATTTGGTTACACCAAAACCGAAAGTTATTGACTCATGGTATTGATCGAAATCAGTTGCTATTGTTATTATTATTCAAATTGTTATGTTTCGAAGAATTTGCAAAAATCAATTTACACTAGATGATGATGCATCAATAGATAAGAAAGATTTTGATTAATAAACCTGTTAATAAGTCAAAGCAATTCAATCCATCACTGATGAATTGGAAAAGTGAAAAAAATGAGTGAAAAATTAAATGGTTTCGAATAAGAAAGGCAATTATCACCCATTTTATTTTTTATTGATTAAATGACAATCACTTACATCGACTACAGCCTGTTCACATCGATTGGCATGGCTATTACACAGACATTTGCCGCCCACTTTGATCGTCCGGATTGAATAATAATACTGTGTGANGCCGGGGGGGGGGGGGTATAAAAGCGTGAAAATCCCATAATACATGAGAATGTATGCGTGTGTTTTCAGTATAGTTGAATAACTAAAGAATACACATTTTTTACGGTTTGAACACCTGCAATCGATATTTCATTCGGTATCAAGTGATGTACTGAAAACACTCGGATTAGCATGTCCTTCATCTTGTCTAAAGGCCTTAAACGAATGAGAATCAGTTGTTAACTGAATATTCCCCAAAACCACTGTATTCAATCATTCTTTTTTTTAAATTTATCATTCTTACTTTCTAATAGTGAATGCATAATGAGACAATTTTGAGAAAGGTGGAATCGGACATACAACACACAATGGCAGTGAGATGGCATTGTTGGGATTCGAACACATGTTTTCCGGGGTGATAATTTGGTAATGTTATCACTGGGTCACCACTCTGACAGTACCTTCTATCCTGTACCAATCTGACAAGTTCTGAGGGGGGGTGGTCTCAGTTCAACTGAGACGCACTTCTTTTTGCAGGTTGCTAGTGCGATGTGATTTCATACCGGGTTGGTTGCAGTCAGAACCTACTGAGCATGCTACGTACATGTACCACTGTGTCGTGACGAGGCAACTCTACTAACCTCGGTTTATTAAGGATAGGGCATCACACCATTTATAATGATCTATCTGAACACGTCGTAAAATGATCACAGTATCCCCAAAGCTGGTTCCTGGACTAACCATGTAGAGAATGTTTACAATAAGGGTTCACAGAAGTTAATTTCATGTTTTCAAGCTTACGAAGCTTGATCGTCCCTCAAGCGTGACTTTCAAATTTGTTATCGCATACATCCCCCATCGTTGACCACACTGCTCTCCGGTATCTTCCACTTGGCTCAAGGGAAAAAGATTCTACTGTAATTTTCTGATCGAACAAACTTTTCCCCGGATCTAGCGGTTTGATCAGAAATATCTTAGTTGATTTTAATGCCTGCAACCATATCGATGCATGTGCAACACTGGCTGATGGAATTTTGCACAACGAAATTCCGAAGCCTTCTTAAATCCGTTTCAAAAACCCATTCTCATCCTCGTTATCAGTGCGTTCGAGCACGTGCCACCGCATACGGAAACAGTATCCTCTCTTATCTTGCCCGTAGTTTCGTGAACCGGACAACATCTTTTCTGTGAGTGTTTTTTTTTCAACCATTACTACTTGCCATGTGCTACCGATCTGTGATTGTTCCTCCACCATGCTCCATTGGATCTATTTTATTTCTGTTTTCACTGCATCCTCGTGAGAATAGCTGAAATTTCACCTCGATCGGGTGCCTCGGGTGCTTACTTTGAATTGATTTAACGCGTCACAAAACATGTACAATGATTCCACCGGATAATTTCGTGTATCACTGTACAAAAGTTGTGATTAGTTCTGCCTTGGCATTCATCGATGACTGATGTGCATATTGTTTGAACCGTGGACAGTCCTCCACCATGACACAATGTGCAATTAATTCAGTCTGATGGTAGTGAGTATTACATCAGATGGAGGAAACTGTCAACGAAGCACAATCAACAACAATGCACTCACCGCTGATAAAGTGAAGAGAAATATTTTGCATTTTATAAATTATTGGCGGGATGAGGGATATCCCAGTGCACTGGGATTC